GGGAGGGGTGTGCCATCCGGGGGGAGGGGGCTGGAGCGGACCCGCACCACTCACAAACCCAGACTGTGGCTTACAGACGAGAGCGCGGAGGGGCGGGGGTGGGTGCAGAGCCGTCAGTCTCAGGCTGGTGGTTTCGCCCGCTGGAGGGCCAAGGGCCGGGGTCTCCCCCCACCCTTCCACAGGAGGCCCCTCCCGATAAGTAGCTCCACCTCTGGGGTCCCCTTTGAGCCAAACGTAAGCTCCAAGTCCTCTGACACGACGTGACGTCCGTGTGACATCATCGCGGGTTTCCATGGCAACGGAGATGGGCCGGAGATGACACGTTTCCACGAAGAAAAGGAGCCTTTTGGGGCCCTCTGGATCCTCTGCGTCTGGCTCCAGGCAGAATGCTGGGGGAGGTGCTGGACAGCATGTGGGACCCCTCCCCCAGAACATTCCTGTCCCTCGCTGAGTCATGCGGACCCCCTGGGGAGGCTGGCTAGGCTCGTTCACTCAACAGAAACAGAGCTCGTGGAATGGGGGGAGGAGGCGGGGGTCGTTCCCACTCCTCCCACTGGTCCCCCTCCCTCCACCCTGCGCTGTAATTGTGTCCTCTCCAGCGGGTCACCCACTCCCCAGGACCCGTTCAACTGCTGGGGTCGGGAGGCGGTGCAAGTCTCCTCTCCGAGGCTTGGGGAGGGGACACAGGATGAGCAGCGAGGCTGTGCGGATGGATGGATTGGGGGGAGGGGACGCAGGATGAGCGGCGACACTGTGCGGATGGCTGGATGGCTGGACGGATGGCTGGATGGATTGCGGATGGGGGGCTGGACCCTTAGCTGAAAGCCCACGGAAGCTCGGCTGCAGGTCACATCACAGACTCGCTTTCACACACACCCCCAACCTGGGATGCTGCGTCACGCGGAGAGGTGCGGGCACAAGCGTCCTGCGCGCGTCTGGCGTGCGTGTGACTGTGGAGCCCAGGGGCCCGCGCACTTTGCAGAAACCCAGCATAGCCCCCGCCCCACACCCCCCGCCGCAGCCCCCACCCAGGTGCGCTCCCGCCCTCGCCCTGCAGGCTCGTCTTGGGTTTGGCTGCTGCTTGAAAGGCAGGTATACTGCGGGCGTCACCAGCCCAGCCCGGAGAGGCCCAGGGATGGGGCCCAGTGGGGGCAGGTGCAGAGCTGCACCCCGCTTCGGCGTCCCGCGTACCAGCCACCTGTGGCCCCGCGTCTACAGCCTGCAGCAGGTGGTTCTAGAGAAATGCCCTCTCCTAGCCTCCCGGCCACCTCTCGCCTGCCACGCAACCGCCCCCACCAGGGCCACCACGCGCTCCCGGTGCCGGCAGCGCGTCCCGGTGCTTTGGTCCGTCCGACGCCCCTTCTGCCTCCCCTCTTCTCCCCTCACCCCCCCTGCACCCCCTCTCCACCTCGGGACTCAAGGCTCCCACTGGTTCTCTTGGATCTGCAGGGGTGGAGCCGGTTCACGGGGAGGGGGCTGCAGTCAGAGAGGGGGGTGATGTCCAGCAGTCCCACCCCCACCCGACCTGCCGCGCTCTGCCGAGGACCCAGGATCCGGGCAGCACGTCGGGTCTCTGCAGGGCTGGGCACCCACTGCCCTTCTGGAACGTCCAGGCGGCGACTGGCCCCATGGAACCCCCCGATCGTCCCGGAGGCCTGGGGACAGTAACCCCTCTCCGCTTAGCAGAGACCCCAAGGGAGGACCCCGGCTCGGTCTGGCCGCCATCGGGTCAGCCGCAGTGCCCCCCTACATTCCCCTACCCCTGCACACGCACCTGCACACGCACCGGCACACTCTCCTGCGCACCCGCGCACACGCACCGGCACACTCTGCGGCACACCCGCGCACACACTCGGCCCCCTCGCCCCCGCTCCACAAGCAGAAATGTGGAAATGGCTCACAGGCGGCTCCGGCAGCTGCAGCAGGACGCGGTGGCAGGGCGAGGATGCGGAGGAAGGATGCGGTTCCAGACGCTTCGCAGTCGCGGGGGCGGGGCGGGGGAGGGGCCGGCCGAGACCGAGGCTGCTGTTGCCAGGAGACGCGGGCCGGGGGAGGGGAGCGCTGCGGCTGCCGCCGCCCCCACTGCGCCCCTCCAGCCGTGCCCTGGGCGCCGCGGCCTCCTGCGCACCTCACACGCGCACCGCACACACACCACACATACGCATACAGCTCACACACTTCACACGCACACCGCACACGCACACCTCACACACACCACACATACGCATACAGCTCACACACTTCACACACACCTCACATACGCATACAGCTCACACACCTCACATGCACACAGCTCACACACTTCACACACACCCCTCACACGCACGCCTCACACACACACCTCACACACACCACACATACGTGTACAGCTCACACACTTCACACACACACACCTCACACACACACCTCATACACATGCCTCACACATACGCCTCACACACAAGCCTCACACATATGCATATAGCTCACACACTTCACACGCACACCTCACACACACACTTCATGCACACCTCACGCACACCTCACGCACACCTCACACACACCACACATACACATACAGCTCACACACCTCACACACACCTCCCACATACACACCGCACATACTCATACACCTCACACGCACACTGCACACACACTGCACATACGCCTATACCTCACACACAACCACACATACGCATACAGCTCACACACTTCACACACACACACCTCACACACATGCCTCACATACACACGGCACATGTACACCTCACACAATCTCACACACACCTCACATATGCATACACCTCACACAAACACCTCACACACACATACCTCATATATGCGTACACCTTACACACACACCTCACACACACCCTGCACATATGCATACACCTCACAGACACACCTCACACACACCTCACATACACACACTGCACATATGCATACACCTGACAGATACACCTGACACACCTCACATATGCACGCACCTCACACATACACCTCACACACACTTCGCACACACACCTCACACATACACACCTCACATATGCATACACCTCACACACACCCTACATATGCATACACCTGACACACATACCTCACACACACCTCACATATGCACACACAGCACACACACATACCTCACACAGACACACCCTTGTCACACACATACACCTCACACACACACCCCTCACTCACCTATACCTTGTCACACACACCTCTCACATATGCATACATCTCATACATATACCTCTCACACACACCTCATATACACATACCCCTCACACACACATGCACACTTCACACACACACCTCGCACACACACACCTCGTATATGCATACGCTTCACATATACACATATGCTTCTCACAGGCACACCTCACACACCTCACAGACACACCCCTCACACACATTGTGCACACCTCACACACACTCACCACCTCATTGTGGGGATGGTGGGGGCAGACAGCCTGGCCAGCTGAGCGCTGGCTACTCTTTGGCCTGGGGATGTCCAGGCTCTGGGACACGACCTTGGTTGCCTGCCCAGACTTTCCATCTCGCCGCGTTTGGGCGGCTGGGTTCATGCACAGCTTGTTTGGCCCCCTCCCACCCAGGGGAGGGCCTCCTCCAGGCTCAGTGTGTAATGCTCCTGGGGCAAGCCTGTCATTCTTGGTCCTGTGCACAGTGCCTGCACAGTGCCCAGCACAGAGAAGGTGCTCAGCAGGCATTTGCTGAGTGAGTGAGTGCCGTGGTGGACGTGACCTTCCAGGCTCAGCCTGGCTGGGGTCAGGGTTCCATATCTTGGTCTCTCAGCTGGTGGAGAACAGCAATGACAGCAGCATGTGTCAGGGGTTCATCCCTTTTTGCTGTTGAATAGTGTCCCACGGCGTGCGTATGCCCTGTTTTATCCATTCACCCACTGACGGGCATCTGGACTGTTTCCAGTTTTGTGTGTTGTTGACAAGGTTGCTACGAACGCTCTTGTACAGGTCTTTGTGTGGACACAGCTTGCATTTCTCTTGGATAGGTACCTAGGAGTGGAATTGCTAGGTTGGATGGTAGATTACATTTAACTTTTTAAGAAAATGCTAAACTTTTTTCCAAAGTGGCTGCATCATTTTACCTTCCCAGCAGCAATGTGTGTGAGCGCTCAGTTTCTTGACATCCTCATCAACACTTGTTGTTGTCTCTCTTTTTTATCGTGGCCGTCTGTGCTAGTCTGCTAGGGCCGCCATGACAGACCACCACAGGCTTAAACAACAGGGATGTGTCTCTTCACAGTTCTGAAGCCTAGAAGCCTGACGTCAGGCGTCAGCAGCATTGGTCTCCTCTGAGGCCTCTCTCCTTGGCATGTGGACGGCCGTCTTCTCCCTGTGTCTTCACATGGTCGTGCCTCTGTGTGTGTCTGTGTCCTAATCTCCTATTCTTATAAAGACACTAGTCAGAATTGATTAGGGCGCACCCATGTGACCTCATTTTAACTTATTTATCTCTTTAAAGATCTTATCTCCAAATGCAGTCACATTCTGAGGTACGGGGGTTAGGACACCAACATAGGAGTTCTGGGGGGAACAGTTCTGCCCACCATCTGGCCTGGTGGATGTGTAGTGATATCTCACTGTGGTTTGACTCTGCATCCCTAATAGCTAATGATGCTAACTAAGCATCTCTTGGTGGGTTTATTAGCCACTTGTATATCTTTGGTGAAATGTCTGTTCAAAGGTTCTGAACATTTTTCAGTTGAGTTCTTGTCTTGTTATTGAGTTGTAAGAACTCTTTGTATGTTCTGGACACAAGTCCCTTATAAGATATATGATTTGCAAAAGTCTCTTCCAGTCTGTGACTTATCCTTTCACTCTCTTGATGGTGTGTTTTGAAGTGCAAAAGTTTGTAATTTTGATGAAGTCCAATGTATCCAAAAAATTTTGTTATCTATCATGCTTTTTTTTTTCCTTCCTGCCCTCCCCCGACAAGTACATGGTTGTATATAGTTGCATGTTCTTCTGGTTCTTCTGTGTAAGCCACCACCACAGCATGGCTACTGACAGATGAGTGGTGTGGATCTGTGCTTGGTAACCAAACCTGGGCTGCTGAAGAGGAGCGTGCCGAACTTAACCGCTAGGCCATCAGAGCTGGTTCTTATGTATCATGCTTTTGGTGTTGCATTTAAGAACTCTTTGCCTAACCCAGGGCTGTGAAAATTTTCTCATTTTTTTCTTCCAGAGGTTTTATAATTTTAACTTTTATGTTTAAGTCTATGATGCATTTTTTTTTTAAGATTGGCACCTGAGCTAACAACTGTTGCCAGTCTTCCTTTTTTTTTCTTTCTGCTTTTTCTCCCCAAATCCCCCCAGTGCATAGTTGTATATTTTAGTTGTGAGTCCTTCTAGTTGTGGCATGTGGGATGCCACCTCAGCGTGGCCTGGCAAGTGCCATGTCCGTGCCCAGGATCCAAACCAGTGAAACCCTGGGCCGCCACAGCAGAGTGTGCAAACTTAACCACTCTGCCACGGGGCCGGCCCCCTATGATGCATTTTGAGTTAACTTTCATGTACCATATAAGTTATAGGTCTAAGTCCTTTTTTTTACATATGGTATCCAACTGTTTCAGCACCTTTTGTTGAAAACACTAACGTTTCCATATTGAATTGTCTTGACATCTTTGCCAAAAATCAGTTATCCGTATATGTGTGGGTTTATTCCTGGCTCTTAATTCCATTTCACTGATCTATGTCTCAATCATTGTGCCTACGGCATATCCTTTTTCACTGTGGTTTTATAGCAAGTTTCGAAATGGGGTAGTGTATGTCTTCCAATTTTGCTCTTCTTTTAGAAAATTGTTTTGGCTTTTCTGAGTTCTTTTCATTTCTTATAAATTTTAGGATCAGCTTCTCGAGTTCCACAAAGAATCCTGATAGGAATTTGGTAGGAATTGCATTGAATCTACAGGTCAATTTTGGGAGAATTACTATCTTAACAAAATTGAGTCTTACAATCCATGAACGTGGAATAGTTCTCCATTTATTTAGGTCTTCTGTAATTTTTCTCAGCATGTCTTGTGCTTCTTTTGTTAAATTTGTCCCTAGGTATTTTATTATTTTCAATGCTATTATGTATGAAATTTTTTTCTGAGTTTCATTTCAAATTGTTCATTGTTAGTATATAGAAACAACTGATTTTTGTATGTTGATCTTATATCCTGAGATCTTGTTCAACTCCTTTATTATCTCTGGTAATTTCTTTTTGGTTCCTTAGAACTTTCCAAGAACGGGATCATGTCACCTGCAAATAAAGACAGCTTTACTTTTCCATTCCAACTCAAGCATCGTTTTCTTTATTTCTTGCCTTGTTGCCCTGGCTGGACTCTCCAGTATGATGTTGAATAGCAGTGGTGAGAGGAGATGCCCCTTTCAGCCCCAGCCTCAAGGAGAGAACGCTCAGTCTTTCAACATCAGGTACGATGTTTGCTGCAGGTTTTGGTTCATGCCTTTTCACCAAGTTTATGAAGTTCCCTTCCATTCCTAGTTTGTTGAACGTTTTTTATCATAAATATTGAATTTCGTCAGATTCTTTTTCCATGTCAATTAAAATGGTTGTCAATACAATAATCAATAATCATTCTATAATAAAGAGAAGAAGAGAGTTCTATTTGAGCCAAACTGAGGACTGTAGCCCAGGAGTGGCAGACTTCCAAGGGAAAAATGTGCTCCTTAAAATTTTTAGCACAGTTATATACCATTTCAAAACAAAGATACATACATCAAGGATGACAGGGGTCCATTCCTTCAAGGGTTCAAGGAGCTGTTTGTTACGGATTAACGTGTGCACAACGGGTCAACATGCCCCTGGCATTGTGGGAAGGGAGACGTTTTCAAAGAGCACTGGCACTGTGAGAAGGGAGGCGTCGATTCTCCTCTTCGAGGAGCACATTCTTTCCTTTAGGGCAACGGCTGAAGCAGATGTACCATGTATGTCTGTATGTCTGACAGGCTGTAAGTCAGGCATCTTAGTTTCAAATAAAATTCAGGTCAAATCAAGTGCAAACCAGGATGGCTTCCCCATACACCTCAATATGTAAGAATTTCCTAATATCGTGGTCATGTGTCTTTGTCCTTCTTTCCATCAGTATAGCATAGTATATTAATTCATTTTTTGAATATTAAACCAACTCTGCATTCCTGGGATAAATTCCTCCTTATGTGTTGCTGGATTTAGGTACTATTTTGTTGAGGATTTTCGTGTCAGTGCTTGTGAGGAATACTAGTCTGTGGTTTTCTCTTCCTCTCAATGGTTTTGTCTGCCTCTGGAATCAGGGTGACACTGGCCTCGTGGCAGGAGTGTTCTCGCCCCCCCTCGCTCTTGTTGTGAAGACTGATGTCACTGCTCACACATTTCCTGCCGGCCTCCGGCGCTCCCCAGAAGAAGTCAGCTGTTGACCGCGTTGCTGGTGCTCTGCGCAGCAGACTAGATCTTCTCTTGATACTTTCAGGATTTTCTCTTTATTGTTGGGTTTCAACAGTTTAACTATGATATGTCTTTGTTTTATCCTACTTGGGGCTCACTGAGCTTATTGGATCTGGAAACAAATGCTACAGATTTGGAATGGTTTTAGCCATTATTTATGGGAATATTTTTTTCTGTCCCTTTCTTTCGTCTCCTTCTAGGATTGTGCATGTATGTGTGGTGGGTGTATGTGTGTGTTTGTGGTTTGCGTGTGTGCGGTGTGTGTATTTGAATGTATGAGGCTTGTGTGTATAGAGTGTGTGGTGTGTGTATGTGGTTTGTGTGTGTGGTGTGGACACACGTGTGTATCTAGTTTGTGTGAGGGGTGTGTGTATGTAAGTGTGTATGTGTCTGTATGTGGCTTGTGTGTGTGGTGTGTGTGGTACGTCTATGTGTGTGTGTGCTTGACACGTGTTATCTCACAGGTCTCAGAGATGCTATTCAATTTTGTTCTCTTTTTTCTCTTTTCTTTAGATTGGACAATTTCCATTGATCTTCCTTTGAGTGCTGATCTAATGTAAAGATAGTACACACTTACACACGTCTTCCAGTAAGCCCGCTAGTGAATTTTTAAATTTTAGTTACTGTTTTTTTCAGTTCCTGAATTTCCATGTGATTCTTTTAAAAATTCTGTTTATTAAGATTACTTAGTTAAGTCATTTCCTCACACTTACCTTTAATTCTTTACACATGGTTTCCATTAATTTTTGTCTACTAAGTCCAACACTTGGGTCCACTCAGAGAGAGTTTCTATTACCTGCTTCTCTCTGAATGTTGATCACACTTTTCCTGTTTCTTTGCCTGTCTTATAATTTGGGGTTGAAAACACTTTTTAATTGGCCGTCAATTATGACAGATGTGCCACCTAACGCAAGCTGTTAATCGCAGGGGAGCAGGCTCGGGGTGAGGGTATGTGGGAACTCTGTACTTTCTGCTTAGTTTCTCTCTAAACCTAAAATTGCTCAAAAAATAAAGACTGTCAATTAAAAAAACAAAGCTAGATGTCTTAGACTGTATATGGTACGGTCTGATTCTGACATTTTTCCCCTGAGAGTGGTGGTGGTTTGTTTGTTCGGCAATTTCCCTGGACTGACTCTGTGGACCCTTGTGGTGTGGGGACCTGATCTCTGCCCAGTCTTCCTTCTCCTGCTCCTTGCTGTCAGCCTGGCTTCCCAGGGGTCACCAGCGTCTGCACAGGTCAAGGCTGTGCTCGCCTCAGGCAGCTTGGGGATCCCACCCTCTGCCAGCCCTGTGCGGCTGGGGAGCCCACTCTCCGCAGTTGGGGACCCTGTCGATGTCAGGGCAGTTTCTGAGGCCGCCCAGGCTTTCACTTCCGTGGGGCCCTCTCCCATCTCCTCTGCAGGTGTGCCCAGGCTTGTGGTGACCCAGGTGTGGAGCTGGCCCGTGCCCCCTCTTGCAGTCAGCCAAGGGCACCAAGGAAGCCAAAGCCCCGCCCCCTGCCCCCTCACCCTGACTGACCCATTCCCAGTCAGGGCTGGGGGCCACCAGGGCTCCAAACCCTCCTTCCGGAGCCACTGGTCTTCCTGCTGCCTGCCCTGTGGAGCTACTGTGCCCACTGACCTAGGGTTGGGGTGGGAGCAGCCCCCCAAAAGAAAGCCACTCGTGTCCTCTGTTGTCCCCCAAGGCTCCGGAGCTCATCTGAGCACTCTGTTCTCAATTGCTCCTGTGCTGTGGGTCACCTTCTGGAGCTCTGCAATGGTTGCGGGGTGCCTGGAGTGGGCGCAGGCGTGTGTGGGGTGATGGGGGAGGTAGAGCTGAGTCAGCTCTGTGCTGAAGTGGGTGGTAGACGGGTCAAGGGGCAGGTTGTGGGTGTGACAGACAGGTAGGGTGGGGCCCGCTGGGTGGACTCAGTCACCTGGCCCCTGACCTCTGTCCGGACACGCCCACATGGGGGCCATAAAACCCAGAGAGGCCTGGGCAGGGCAGTGCAGGCCAGGCGTTTAGATTCCTGGGCGCCAGCTGCCTGGACCTGGAACTACGGCCCCCCAAGCACCCTCTGCACTGAGAAGCGCTTCCAACATGAGCAGGTAACGCTGTGCTCCCGAGGCCAGACTCCCCACCCAAACCCGCCTGCTGTGTGGGCATGTGTCTCAGAGAGCAGCCCCGGGGCTGCTGTGTCCCCAGCCCTGGCTGCTCCAGAGGAGAGAGAGTGGGGGAGGGAGAAGGGGGCTCTGTCCACAGACCCGTGTTTGGCTGGGGTCCCCACGAGTGCTCCGGCTCCCCTGGGGGTGCACAGGGCTCTCCCTCCCGAGTCGCCATGTGGTGTCTGTGTCTGGGCTCCAGCTCTGAGGCCCACCCGTGTGGCTCCCATGAGAGAGTAAGAATGTGTACCTGTCGTTGGGGTCCCCTGACCTGGCGGGGAATCACCCAGGAGCCCCCGCAAGCAGGAGGTGGGAGGCTCAAAGGAGGCAGGTCTGTGACTGCCCAAAGGAAAGGGGGTCAAGAAGATGAGATGAGCCTGGGGCTGGCGACAGGGGCAGGTGCTGCCCTGAGGGGACGTCACACTGGAAGCTGGGGTATGAGGCTCAGGAAGCACTGGGGCTCCTGTTGGACCCTGGGAGGCTGTCCTCCTCCTGTGAGGGCCCCCTCCTTCTGTGGGAGTCCCTCCTCCTCCAAGCCAGAGCTCACTGCTGGCCTTCCTGTCCTTGGGACCCCCCAGCTTGGACCAGAGGTCATGCCTCCCTGTAGAGAGGTGGGCCACTGGTGGCTTGGGGGCCTTGGGGACCCCTTGGTTTCCAGAACTTTCTGCCTGCAGAGGGGCCTACAGGGGGGCCCACAGCCAGGCTGCCCTATGCTCCCCACTGCTGTCCCGCTCCCCGTGCCCAGCAGCACCCCGTCCTGTGAAGTCTTTTCCCAGGCATGGCTGGGCAGTGTGGCGGTGGGTGTGGTATCCAGACACATGTGCACAGGTTCCCAGTTCAGCCTCTGCCCTTTGGCTCTTGTGGTGTGCATGGAACCCCCACTCCAAAGTACTGAGTCACCAGAGAAGGAGTGAAGGTCTCTGTGTGGCTGGAATCCAGGGCCACGGGCCAGCGTGTAGGAAGCCTTGATCCGAGGCCCCTGTGGACCCCTGCGCTCCCCTGCCTCCCCCAGCCTGGGGCCAGCCTGGACCTACCCCGCCGGCTGCAGAGACAGACACCTTCTCTCCAGGACCTGAGGAACCGTGTGTGCACATGGACTGTTACAAGATAAACTGAAGTGCACGAAACATTTTGAGTTTACTTGAGCAAAAATCAGTTCAAATCGGGCAGCATCTGATCTGGCAGATAGAAAGGAGCTCTGAGGAGCTGTACAAAATGAGAGACTTTCGTAGGCAGAAAGTGGCGGAACAAGGAAGTTACACTGGCAAAAGCAGGTGGTCATTCAAGGTGACTTCCTGGAGGGGCTGGCGGGTTGGGTCAGGCGGGTGACCTCACTGGTGCTGGGCCTGGGCTTCCAGACCAGCTGGTTTCCAGTTCCATTTCTGGGACAGTGGAGCTGTGACCAACTCGTCTCCGTCTCCCGATGTGGGGCTTGGTATAGCGACCCATTCTGGGCCTGTTGTCTGTTTTTTTAATAATGCAAACACACACACTCAGATACAGGCGCACCAGTCAGCCTCCTGTCCTCTGCCCTCCTGACACCGTCTTAGACGAGGCCTCCAGGGCCTTTTGCTGCCGAGCCCATCAGTCACCTTCCATCCTGTGTGTCTCTTTGTGTCTCCTGCCTTGGGCCATGGCTCCTCAGGCCCCCTGTGGGGGCCTGGTCCTGGACCTCCTCCCCTTGTGGGCCGCGGCCTCCCCAGAGGTCAGGCTGGCTGTGAGCAGGCACCATCCTTCCCGCCTCCTCCTGGGCTTCTAGCCCAGGTGATGGTACCACCATCCACCACAGCTCTGGGACAGAGAGACATGCGGCCTGGCCCTGAGGGAGCCATGTGCACAGCTGCTCTGCCCCCCTGAGAGGTGCATGTGTGTCCCTGTGCAGCAGCCAGGACAGACGCCAGAAGCTGGAAGATCCACGTGGGCGGCTGGTGCCTGCAGCGTGGGATCTGACCAGAACGTGGGGTGCAGTGGCTGAGGGTGGGGAGCAGCCCCTGGTCTGAGGGCCCGGGAGCAGGTGTGGGCCTGTGGCAGTCCCACCTCTCTGTGGCTGTGTGTCCTGGTCTGTGAGATGAGGAGAAGATAAAATGACCTGCGGACCCGGTCCCAGGCCTCCCTGCTGGGACCCAGGTCTCTGGCTGCACCAGGCTGCACATCCGGCGTCCTGTCTGGAGGTACCTGCCTCTCACTCTCCTCTCGCTCCCCCCCCCCGCCCCCCCAGGCTCCTCCTGGTCACCATCCTGGTGGCTGTGCTGCTGCAGGAGGCAGGCACGGCCTCAGTATCCCAGGTATGTATGGGCTACTCCACCCGGGCCCCACCATGGCTCTCCCTGTTGACCCAGCCAGCAGGCGGGGGGGGGGGGGGGGGGGGGGGGGCTGGGGGGGTGGTGGAGCAAGCTGGAATAGGACAGAGAAGACGGGGCACCAACGTGACTGCAGGTCCCTGTGCACCAGGGGATGCTGTGGGCGTGGGGGGAACCCTCAGGATGGGAGGAGCGGGCCCCTCTGTGCAGCCTGGTGGGCCAGCCTCGATGACACCAGGTGGCTGCAGATGGAGGGGCCTTGATGGTGCTCACTTGTGCCGTGAAGCCTGGGCACCTCCTCGTGCAGGCCCCTCAGCTGCTCTTCTTGCAGATTACTGGTGTCCGGGGCCAGGACTGTGCGTGGAGCTGTGTCCTCCCCCAACCCTGGGACAAGGCCACTCAGCCCTGCACACCTGGGAGTGACCAGGGGAACAGGGAGGCCCGCCCTTTCCTGGCCAGAGGCACAGGAGGACAGGCACAGCTGCCCCACAGCTGCCAGGCGCTGATGCTCCACTGCGGTCACTGGTTTCATTTGCACCCCTGTCCCCAACTGCCCCACAAGGAGGGCTGGGCTCGGAGGAAGCAGCTCCCCTTCCTCAGGCCACCAGCCAGGGTGGGGGGTGCAGGTGTAGCCCCAACCATCTTCCCTGGTGTCCCCAGAAATCACGAGGCCTCCAGCCAGAACCCAGAGGGCCTGGGAGGGGTGGGCGGGGGTGGGCTGGAGTTGGCAGAGGGTCTCCCTGGGTGTCCTTGACCCTGGACCCCGGTGGAGCGTGTTGAGCCCATACCTGTGACCTCACTCTCCAGGTCCTCTTCAAGACCAAAGGCAGAGGCAGGGCCCTGGAGCAGCACACAGAGGTGTGAGTGTCCCGGCAGCTCCGCCCAAGCCCCCTGCTATCCTCCCTCCCGGGCCCTCCCTGAGCTGGGGCATCAAGGGTGGAGGGGAAACACTGCCCAGCAGCCTTGAGGAGGGGGCAACACTCCAGCCAGCACGGGAGCCCACAGGATCCGTCAGCAATGAGCAGGGAATGGGGCCTGGGCATTCCAGGCTGACCCCTGAGCGGCCCCGCTCTGCTGGCAGCCTCCAGGTGGCTCCTGCCCATGTCCCTGGGTCATGGACAGAGCCGCCTCTGAACTATGGCCCCTTCCCTGCACCCACAAGGCATCCTGGCTGATTTTTACCTGGCTGATTTTAGCTGCCAGGACAGAGGATGCAGCGCCAGTCCCAGCCTGTGTGGCCTGGGCTCCCAATGACACTGGAATTGGAGGGAGTCCTCCCCAAGCTCACGGGGTCCCCGTGGCCCAGTGCCGGTACCATATCCGTCACTGGGGAGCACCCTGGGCTGCAGCCAGGGCAACCTCAGTCTTGGCCTGGAGGATTTTTCCTCACGTCCTTCACCCTCAGGGTTACCCCCCAAGGGAGGCTCCGAACTTCCTAGCGCCCCTCGACCCCTGCAGCTCAGGGACGTGGTAGGGACACTTGGCCCGTGGGTCTGGGTTCCATGGAGGCTGCTTGGCTGTAGTTCTTGAGGGAGAGGCAGCTGTTGGGTGATGGACTGGAGCCTCTGAGGACTCTGGCGGGGAGCCGCCTCCCGCTCTGCATGTGGACCTGACCCGGCTGCGCTCGCAGGGTCTGGGGCGCCCGAGCCGTGGAGCCTCCGGAGGAAGATGACCAGCTCACGCGACTGCTCCTCTCACTGACACTGTCCCCCATCCAGGAAAAGCAGCAAGGTGAGGGCAAGCGCCCCCTCACCCCCCGAGGGGAAAGAGGCCACAGCAGGGGAACCCCTTGGAGTTGACTTGGATGGATGAGGCCTTGGGAGGGAAACTGAGGCTGCACCTCCATCTATCTGTCCCTAGGCACCAAGGGCCGGGCAGGAACGAAGGATATCCTGGGTGGCCTCCGGAGCCCCAGGAGGGGCCCTGAGCCCGACTATGACAGCTTGTACCATCCCCCACCTGAGGAGGCCCAGGAGGAGGCAGGGCCCCGGTCTCAGGTGCTGCTGTCGCGCCAGGTGCTTCGGGGGCCAGAGGAGGATCGAGACCACATCTACCACACTAGCGGGGACTCCTGAGGGTGCTGACTCCTCCCCAATGGGAAAAATAAACTGCAAAGAGGCCAAGTGTTTCTTATGAACAGTGAGCATGGCCCTGGCCTGCTTTGTCTAGGAGACGGGGGTCGTGTCCTACACATCCAGAGCCCCCAGGGCAGCACACGGCTGACTCTTGGCTCCCCATACCCAAGTCCATGTTCCCAGAACTATCTACTCCCCCTAGGCCTTCTCCTGGCATGCTGGGATGGGGCCAGGGGTGTGGCAGAGGTCAGTGGTTGGGACCAGAGAAATGGAGCCGTGGTGGGCTCCCCACAGATGGGACCTGAGAACAGAAAGGACTTAAGAGGGGGAAGCAGAGACAATGGGTGCTCAGCTGGACAGGTGAACAATGGACAGGTTCCCAAGTGAACTAGTGGACAGGTGCACAATGAACGGGTGCTCAAGTGAACTAGTGGACAGGTGCACAGGTGAACGAGTGAACAGGCGCTCAAGTGAACTAGTGGACAGGTGCTCAGGTGCTCAGATGCACAGATGAACAAATGGACAAGTGCTTAGGTGCACAGGTGAACCCAGGTTTGTCCAGGTGACCTCTGGTGTCCTAGAGCTTCCTGAGTCCCCCAGCAGGTCCCAAACTCCCTGGAGGAGTAGAGCGGCAGGCCTCATCCTGAGATGCGCTGCTGGACAGGTTACATGGTCATGGCCTCAGAGCACCCCACAAGGCAGGAGCTTTGTCACCCCCACGTTACCTATGCGGAGACTGAGGTCTGGACAGTGACCTGCTCGGGGTCCTGCCCCCACAGGGGCAGAGTGGGTCCCAGCCTCATCAGTGTGCACCCCACCTGCCATCCTGCTAAGAACAGGGTGGGCATGCTGAACACGCATGGCCCTGCTCCTGCCCTGGATCCAAGGAGCAGCATCTATGCAGAGGCCCCAGAATCGTGTCCAGGTCTCAGGCTGCCCGAGTCCTGCATGGCACATGCAGAGCTCACAGCCCCACCAAGTCATTCCTCTGCCAGGTCAGGGATGGCCACCCCTGAGCAATTCAGGTCCAGATGGTTGGGGACCAGGGAGCCCTGAGGAGCTCAGACCCAGGGTGGTGTTTGTGGCCAAGTCTCTCTCTGGCCTTGGAGGAGCCAGGATCCCCCGTCGGCATTTCCTCAGACCTGAGGGCACAGCTGTGTGGCAGAGTGCACAAGGAGAGGCAGAATGAGCTGGGGGTACACTCTGTGCCTTGTGAGGAGGAGGCACAGCAGAGGCCACAACCAGCTCAGCTGCCTGCGACCTGAGACCCCGGGGCACAGCCCGAAGGGGCCGGGGAGGTCTGTCACCAACATTGGGTGTGGCTCCTTCGGGCCCTTTAGGGAAGTCTGGAGTTGGAGAGGCAAGGCTGAGGCCCACGAGGCTGGCGCCCCCCCCTGCAAAGCCCCTCCCCTAAGCTCTCCCCCCTGACTCTCCCTGTCTCTAGAGGGAAACACACCCTTTGGACAGCCCTGAGCTTGGGTTACCCTCTCTGCTCCCCGTGTCACTAGGCAACACTGCTTATGCAGAGTGACCGCTGGTGGGCGGGTGATGTTGACTAGGAGGGCAGAATTGCTTGGTGTGGGCACCCGCCCCCCAGCCCAACACATTGAATTGGTGACCAGAATCACTAAAGGCCCTGGTGCCAAGAGAAAATGGGCAAGAGATTGAGCATTCGTGTCACCAGAGAGAACAGACGGAAGGCAAATAAGCCCAGGAGAAGATGCTCAGCATCATTAATCATCAGGGAACACAAACTAAAACCAGAGGGACACTGCGACAGGCCCGCCCGTTAGAGCAGCCGACAGGAAAGACCAGCATGGCGGGACTCTGGTTCCCTGCGGGCAGGGACGTAAACTAGGACAGCTACTTGGAAAACTGTTTCGCAGTTTCTTAGAAAATTATGGGTACACTTAACGTATGGCCCAGCCGTTCCACTCCTATGTGTTCATCCAAGAAATGAAGGTTCGCGTCCACACAGGCTTGTGTGTGCTCATCTGTGACGGCCCAAACCCGAAACAGCCCAGCGCCCGCCCACAGGTGAACGCATAGAACATTGTGGCATGTCTGCATGATGGAATACCGCTGGGCAACAATGGGAAGTTATCGATGTGGGCAACAGACACAAGTCCCAGATGGTCACGCTGAGGGAAAGGAGCCAGAGAGGAGCACGCCCGGTACTCCATTCATGCAAAATTCTACCCTTAGTGACAGAAAGCAGACTACGGGGTGGGGGTGCTGCCTGCATGGTTGGGGAGTGTAGACAATACCTAAATGTATTTCGCTGGGCATTGTAAGCGTACTGTTTATTAAGCATCAATTAGACCTCAACAAAGCTGTTTAAAGAAAGGCCTTCGGGTGGCTAGAAATGGCCACGGGGTCAGGGTCTGAGGTAAGACCCTGGCAGTGACAGGCCCAGAATAGGGTCGCTTCCCCAGGCTGAGCCCCAGATGTCCACGTGGTGGGCTTGCCTGCCCCGCAGGATCCTTGATGTCAGGGACGCCTCCCCCAGGCCCTGAGGGATCCAGAGGCTGGGAGCCCCGGTCATCCCAGCTCCTGCACCCATGTGTCCGTAGGAAGGTCTGGAGGGGCGGGGGGGGAGGCCCTCAGAGAGACTTTGGGGTCAGAGACAATGGCGGGTGGAAATCCCTCCCCAGTCAGAGCAGTCCAAGCCTCATGCCGGGAAGCTGTCGCAGCCTTGCAGGCACCCCTCCTGGCTGGCCCTCCACCTGGGCACTGGGTGTTCTCCTGTCCTTGATCCCTGTTTCCCAAGACAGTTCAGGCTCTTGGGCATTCGGGAGGAACTCAGCCACCAGGCAGCTCAAGCCCTACACCCCGCCCTTGCTAGCACCCCGACACACGGTCACCTCCCAGAGCATCCAGACCAGCAGTCACCACCTGCCCTCCTGCCTCTGGGGCTGAAGGAACAGCCTAGGGCCCTCTTCAAGGACCATCTGAGTGTCTGCAGCCCAGGGGACTGATGCAGAAGCCCCACCCCACTCAGAGCTGCCTGGGCAACCACTGTACCCACTCCTGGCCTCCTGCAGTACCCTGTGTGGCCACACCCCCGCCCAGGCCCTCAGGTCACAGCCCAGGCCCTCAGGTCACAGCCCAGGTCCCCAGGTCACTGCCCAGGCCCCTAGGTCACAGCCCAGGTCCCCAGGTCACAGCCCAGGCCCCTAGGTCACAGCCCAGGCCCCCAGGTCACAGCCCAGGCCCCCAGGTCACAGCCCAGGTCCTCAGCTCACTGCCCAGGCCCCCAGGTCACAGCCCAGGCCCTCAGGTCACAGCCCAGGCCCCCAGGTCACTGCCCAGGTCTTCGGGTCACAGCCCAGGTCCTCAGGTCACTGCCCAGGCCCCCAGGTCACAGCCCAGGCCCTCAGGTCACAGCCCAGGCCCTCAGGTCACAGCTCAAGCCCCCAGGTCACAGCCCAGGTCTTCGGGTCACAGCCCAGGTCCTCAGCTCACTGCCCAGGCCCCCAGGTCACAGCCCAGGCCCTCAGGTCACAGCCCATGCCCCCAGGTCACTGCCCAGGTCCTCTGCAGATTTCCTCAGGTGAGGGTCTCTACCTGTGAGGGTCTCATCCCAAGCCCAGGGACTCGCTGGCTCAGGGAGCCCAAACCTACTGGGAAGAGGGACGCCTGACTTCCCACCTGAGGTTCAGGGCTCACGGGGGCTGCTCTCTGGGGAGCCCACAGCCTCCCTGTGCTCAGCACCAAACAAGCCTTTGTGAGTGAGAAGAAGCTGTTGTTTAAACCTTTGGATGGAAGGATGACAATCACTACCCTTTGCCATTGTTATCATAAATTGGGAGGATCTCAGCCTGGTCAGCAGGGCTCCCCAGGACCCGCCACCCCCGGAGCCCCCGCTGGGTGAGGTCTTTGTGCTGCGGGCAGGCCTGCTGGTGGCATTGTTGGGCTCAGGGGTCCAGATCCCTCTCTGGGCCCGGGGCGGTCTTCGCCAGGCCTAGAGCAGCGCATCAGGGGCAAGCACCCCCTTCTTGAGGATGAGGTTTCCGTAGAGGGCCGTCTCCCTGCGTAAGGAGCTGAGCTGAGCACCGAGGTGGGTGGGAAGGCCAGGGCGCCCAGGCTCCTGCTCTGCCACCCGCTGGACAGGCCCAGGGACAGCCCTCAGGCAACCCCCGTGTCCCCTCCCCTGTGGGACATCTAGTCTCAGCCAGGGCAGAGGCTGAGTGGGAGTGGGGCGGGGACGGGCCCCACAATCGGCCCAGACCAACCCGACCTACCCACCCAGGCGGACCCCGGCGGACCCCGTGAACCCGGCGGACCCAGTTGTCCCAGCCAGAACTCACCCAGTTGCTACAACAGCAAAAGCCTTTTTGGCCCGCTCATAAAACTCAAACCTCTCTATCTTTGCCAGGGTGCTCTGTAAGGCAAAATGGCACGGTGCAAGACCCTCGCGGCCCCGCAGGGCAGGGGCACCAGCAGGCGCGGCCTCTTTCAGCTCCATTTCTCTGGTTCTCCTGGTCGGGGGCCTGAGGACACCCGGCCTCTGACCTTCGAGGACCAGATGAGCAGGGACAAGGGGGGCTGTGGTGGGTGAGGCGCCTGCTGGGGGCCCTTGCGTCCTCTGAGCTGCCCTGGAGGAGTGGGGGCCGCTGTGCAGGACGGAAGCCCAAGGTGTTCTCTCCTCAGGTGGGTCCTGCCCAAGACCTCCAGTGGGTGGGCCCAGGAGGGCAGGCCCGTCCCCTCGAAGGGTGGAGGGTCACACGTAGCCTCGGACCAGGCTTCTGACCACAAGACAGGGGCCGGGGGTACCCTGCTTCCCCTGGCTCCACTAGGACAGGCTGGGCGGGTGAGGGCCCCGAGGCAGACAGGGCAGGATCCTGGGAGGGAGGCTGGGGAAGGGCCCGGGCAGGGCCAGCCACACCCCCAGGGTCACTCTTCCGTGGCAGGTGAGCAGGCACCTGCATAACTGTGGGGCGGAGTTTGGGGCCCTTGCTGGGCCCCCCTGGGCCTCCAAGAGGTGCAGAAGATCCCCAGCTCCCTTCCAGTCGGGGCCATGGGCTCACCGTGCAGCCGGCCATGAAGAGGATGGACTCATAGCTTCTCCATACGGGGGTCTGGAGGCCTCTCTCCCAGTCACTGGGCTCTAGCTCCATGACAGCAGCCTGGGGACAGACAGGATCACCCCTGCGGCCTACCCATCTAGCTGCCCTGGGCGCCTCAGGCCCCCTTGTTGGGGGACGTCTCAGGGCTCATCTGATCAGGGTCAGGGCCCTTTGGGGACATATTCCCCCCCAAGGCAAGTGGCCCTCTGAGGTCTGGCAAGGGGAAAACTGAGGCCCGAGCAGTGAGGCGGCAGCACAGTGATGAGGGTCCTCACCGGGCTCTCCACGTAGGTGTCCAGTGGCAGCAGCTTCAGCACGGCCTCCAGGAGCTGTGGGATGCCCAAGCCTGAGGGCAGAGTGCCAGCTTCAGACCCCTGCCCTCTTCCACCCGGCCGCGGACAGAGCCCTCTGCCTGCTGGCCTGTCCACACCTTTCACATTGGGCCTCGCGAAACCGGCCAGCAAGGACAGACTGGGGCCCAGGACAGATGGGGAGCTGCAGGCACCTGTTTGACTGCCTGGTGACACTTATCGAGGTCACACTGGCGCCTCCTTGCCCTGGCCACAGCACCTGTCACTGTCCCAGCACTCGCCATCCCATTCACTCTGCACCACGCATATTGCTGGTGGTGACCCGTCCACCAGGAGGGGCCACCTCCTTGACCCAAGAAGGTCCCTGAGATGACCCTGGGGTTACCACCTTTATCCTGTGATGAGGACATTCGGGGCTGGGAAGAGGCCTCTCTTGCCCAAGGCTGCTCCCAAAGGCTCCACTGGGCTCCGAGGCCCCCCAAACACCCCACTGGGCTCTGAGGCCCCCCAAACACTTCACTGGGCTCCCAGGACCCCCCAAATGCCCCACTGGACTCAGAGGCCCCCCAAATGTCCCACTGGGCTCTGAGGCCCCCCAAATGCCTCACTGGGCTCCGAGGCCCCCCAAATGCCTCACTGGGCTCCGAGGCCTCCCAAACGCCCCACTGGGCTCTGAGGGCCCCCAAATGCCCCACTTGGCTCCGAGGCCCCCCAAACACCCTACTGGGCTCTGAGGCCCCCCAAACACCCCACTGGGCTCCGAGGTCCATGCTCTCCTGGAAAGCTGGTTTCTGAGTGTTGAAGTGGCGCACACTTGCTGTACAAGATCAGGAAACACAGACCCGACGAAGATGAACACCTGGCTGTGGTCTCAGGGCGTGAAGCAAGCCCTGCCACCGTCCGCGTGCAGTTCATTCTGCCTTTGCCTCTGCATTTCTGCATGGTCAGGCCTTTCTGCATACATACAGTTAGCCCTCTGTGTCCGGGTATGAAACCCTCGGAAACTGATGGATGACTGAGGGACATGAGCATCTGTGGATTTTGGCATCTGCAGGGGTCCTGCACCCAATCCCCTGCGGATACCAAGGGACGACTGTATTGACTCTGAACCCTAACAGCTTGTTTTCCACTGATGAGCAGGGTGTGTGCATCACTTTTGGTGGCTGTGGTGTGATTTACTTAAACACTCCTTATCATCCTTTCCCACAGCCCACCTTGTCCCACCTCCTTGGGGAGGAGAGCACCTGGGGTTACCTAGCCCAAGGTGTAAACTGAGGCATGGCTGGCTCAGCTCCCTGAGCAGGGGGTGGAAGCCCAGGCCACTGGGTGGGGAGGGAGCAGCCCACTGTTCAGGCCTGGGACCACTGGCTGGCTCTGTCCAGAGGAGGTGGGTTTACCCCACATCGCACATCTCTGTGCCTTGGTGGCCTCAACTTTGCAGGGAGAGTCCTGTTCCTGCTTCACAGCATCACTGGGGTGGGGTGGGGCAGCCAGGCACAGCTGGAGTCCAGCGCCCATCCAGGTAGGATGTGACTAGGTAGGGTGCCTGTGCCCTCACCCCACATTCCCCGTTACCCTCGGTACTGCTAACTCTGCTCCTACTATCCCCTCAGTCTCACCTCCCATCCATCCCCAAGGGTCAGAGTATCTCAGAAACCAAGTGTGTGGACATCGGGAGCCTGTGAGGCCAGGTCACCAGTGCTGGGATTTCTATAGCACTGTAAGGGCTGAACACTTGATGGGGGTGAGCGGGGGCACCACTGCTCAGCCAACTGACAAGGTACCAGGCCTGTTTCTCCACTTGCAAGAAGTCACCAAGTGGAGTCTGAGATGGAGCAGGAGGCCCAGGCTCACCTCTGGGGCTGGGGGCTGCAGGGAGGGTCTCCAGGGTCTGGCACTGGGATTTCCTGGGTCACTGGTGGGTGCTTGGGGAATGGATGGGGAGCTCGGAGCCAGGACCACTGCCCACCCTCCCCAACCCCACCGGGCAGGAGGTGGCAGCTCACCGTCGGCGCGGATCTCCTCGGGGCCACACCTGCAGATGGAGGAGGTGGGGAAGTTCACGTCTGCAAGAACTGAACAGCCGCCCGGGTTAGGCACTCTCCCCACTGCTGGTGGGTCCGCGCAGCCTAACTTCCCACCGCGCCGGTAGGGGCCGCCCGTGGGTCACTGGACAACGCGACAGACCACACCCACTGCCCTCCCCAGACACGCCGGTCAGAGAGAGGGGAAGAGGAGAAGCCGCTAGGTGCAGAAGAGTCTGCAGGTGTTGCCGGGACCAGGGCGGAGCTCGAACCGCGGCCTCCACCCCAGGTCGGCCCCGCAGCCCCCGCCCCAGGCCCATGGCCCCCGGGAAAGAAATCGCTGCAAACGTTGCGGGGCAGCCCCGGGCACCAGCGCAGGTGGTCCTCGGGGCCGTCTTGGGGAGGGGTCTGCAGTCCGGGCCGCACGCAGGGCCGGGACCTGGACCTGCCTGGACGCAGCCCCGCCCAGACCACGGGCCTCCGCCTTGGTGACCACCTGGGGCCGAGTGAGGCCCGGGAGGGCCTGGCCCCCCGCCCGGGCCTCGGTGTCCTAAGGAATGCGGCCGGGGCGGCCGGAGCGATGCCGCCACCCCAGGACCCGGTTCTTCCCGGGACCCGGCGAGGAGACAGCCTGGGCCAGGCCCCGCGCGCCCGCCCGACTTCTGCCCCCGGGTGGGCGTCCCCGAGGCCCCGCGGCCTCGCCCCCCCGCCCCCGCCGCGCTCACCGATCTCGTCTCCGTGCCCCATCCGCGCCAGGGCGAAGAGCAGCTCAGGGGAAAGTAGCGCGGGGACGCCCTTCAGCACCACCATGCTCTCGGGCCTGGGGGGGGGGCGGGGCCTTGGAGAGGGAGCGGGGCCTCGTGGAGGGCGGGGCCTGGAGGAGGCAGACCCGCGGGAGGAGCCGGGCGGGGACGCGCGCGGGTCCCTTCGCGGTGCGCGAGAACATCGCGTAGCGCAGGCTAAACCGCGGCTGGGGCGACTCCTGGCCCAGCCCCGCAGGCACCTTTCGGGTCTCCCGCCCCTCGCCGGGTGCGAGCCGCATGTGCTTGTGGTTTGGGCTTCCCAGCGCCCCTCCCTGCGCCGACCCGCGCCCCGCCGGGTCCCCGCTGTCACAGGGTGGCTGTGTGGGGCGGGGGCCGGGACAGCGCGGACTTACTCCTTCAGTTAGCATTCTTGACCCGGCCGGAGAAAGCAGCACACCTCCTGGAGGGCCCCGGCAGGCAGGCAGGCAGTCAGGCGCGGCCTCTGGGCTCAGCTGGTGTGCTGGGGACACCCGGCAGGCCTCCCCTCCCTGTCCCCTAGGCGCCACGTCCCTCATGTACCTGGCCAGGTAGCAGCGCCCTGACCTCTGACCCAGGGGCCCCGGCTGCCTGCCCTCCTCAGGGCCGACCCCCTGCTCCACGGGTGTCCAGATGGGCGGGCGAATGCCTCCGAAGTTCCTTCCCCTGAAGAGGGAGCAGCTCGAGGTCAGCTGCCCAGTCTCCTCCCCCTCTGATCTGGCCCCTAGAGGCCTGGAATCTGGGATGCTCCGCTTCCGGTTAACCCCTTCAGAGCCCAGACCACCAACCACACTGTGCTTCCGGTTCAGGGCGCGGCCCCATCCCACGTACTCCCAGCCAGGAGAACATGCCCACCACTCAAAAGGGGCAGCCACAGCCTCTCCATGTCCAGGGCTGTCAGGATGGTGGTTCTCTAGCCTCATCCTGGTTGGAGTATTTAGAAGATTGTGTTTTCCAAAAATGGCGGCAGCACTGTATCTGCCATCCCACAGTGACCTGGACACACCTCCACTGAGAGGTGGGGTCTGTCCCCTTCCCTTGAACCAGGTGGACTCTTGTAACTGCCTCCACCAACAGAATATGCTGGAAATGGTGTGGCCTGGCTTCTGAGGTTAGGTCACAAAAGGCAGTATGGCTTCTTCCTGATTCTCTCTTCAGGACACTCGCCCTGGGAACCGGGAGAAGGTATGGGCAGGGAACTCAGGGCACAGAGAGAGCCCTCCTGGGGGCATTTCAGCTCATGTCCCCAGCTGGTGCAGCATCAACCACCACCAGTGAGTGATCAGTCAGGGGGTCTTGGAGACTCAGCCAGCGTGCAGCGAGGAGAACTGAAGAGGCTGTGCCCACCTACTGCTGATGGGACAGGGCGGGCAGTCCCCACAGCCCGTGCTCCCACACATGCGGCCCTGTGGCTCACTTCTTCAAATTTAACTGACATGGTCGCGCTGAAGTGCGAGGATTCACGCACAGAATGTTCACCACAGTGCTGTTCACGACAGCTGTGATAACAAGGAACTGGCCGCAGTCTAAATATCCAATATCATGGGAATCAGTAAATTACGATACACCCATATCATAAAATACTTCAGGGCCACTGAAAAGACTGCTGGTAGGAAGGTTATTCAGCAATGAAAAGAAATGAAAGTCTACTGCATGCTACAACCTGGGTGAACCTCGATTTACTAAATTCAGAGACAGGAAGAAATTAGAACAGAGGGTTCCAGGGGCCTGGAGAGGGAGGACCAGGGACTTAGTGTTGAATGGGGACAGACTTTCTGTTTGAGAAGATGACACGGATTGGAGATGGATGGTGGGGATGGTTGCAGGACAATGTGAATACACTTACTGCCACTGACCTGTACATTTAAAATGGATTAAAATGGGCAATTTTGTGTTACATATATTTTACCACAATAAAAAAGAATGCTAGACAACAGGGTGCGTTTATACACACCTGTAAGTAGAAAGACAACCAGCACACTTCGCAGAAGTGTGTACTTGGGATACCATTTTTGTAAAAAGAAAACTGAACTACATACCTGTGCATGTGTGCACATGGGCACAGAAAAATCTCTAGACGCTACATAACCTGTTAATGGTGGGTGCCCTGGGAGTGTGACAGAGTGGCCTACTTTAAGGACTTCTGTCTGTTTGAATGTTGTCATTTATAATGACAAAACAAAAGTTTTAAAAAAGTGATAGAACATTCAACTCTAGAGATGATTAAGGATGATGTGATCTCACATTGTCACTCAGGCAGCAACGCATCCCTTTAAGGTGCCTCAGCGAAGCCTTCCCCAAAGGTCACATTCCCAGGCTGCGACCCACATGCCAGCCGACCACATGTGTTCTGTCTGAACACCACGTGCTGTACCGAATGCTGTGTTTGGCATCGAAACTTCCCTCTGTTCCTGAAATGAAGTAAAAACTCAAACACACCGAAGGCTCATGAGCAGTTTCTGATTAGGAATATGCCCAGGTCAAAATGAGAATGTGCTTGATAGCGCTTCTCACAACTGCTGGGTGAGGACCGCCTGCTATGCACAGCCCCGCGTAGGCCGAGGAAAACTGTGTGTCACTTTACTGCCCTTTAAAAGAGAAAGATTTATTTGCCTCTAAAGTTGACAGATTACATTTTCCTCTTCAGAGAGAGGCTTCGAGGCAGAGGCAGCCAGTGCTCACTGGTCTCTGAAGGTGGCCTTCCGCTTCTCCACGAACGCCGCCATCCCTTCCTTCCGGTCCTCCTGTGGGAAAGGGACAGAGCAGAGGCAGACACTCACACATCGCTACTGAGCCGGGGTGTGGGGCTGCCTGTGTCCAGGGTGTGCTGTCGCTGGCCTCCCCCTGCTCTTGGCCCTCACGCTCAAAGGGTGGTCGGGGGGATGGGTGGGAGCTGCAGCGGGATCACCTGGAAAGCTGGGAATGATCTGGATTCCCTGACCAGTTAGGGCCAGCCTGGGAATTGGTATCCTAATGGACGCCCTGCCGGGTGATGGTCACTCAGGAACCACTAACATCCTTTCCTGTGCGCACACACCCATACGCACATACACACGCATCTTCACTTCCTCAAGAGCCAAAGCTATTTGTAATCTTCCTTTTATAAAACATCTAGATAGGACTTTCTAATAAAAGACATGAATTTTAATGACTACTAGAAGAATTATTTCCTTTAAGTTACCGGCAGAAATCCTAGAAAATAATGCTTTGAAGCTTCAGATTATAGTAGTATAATACACTTGAACCCCATTCCAAGTAATTGGAATGATCCAGGAACATTATGGGGGAATGGATCCCATGTAAATACAGGAGCTTGCTGATTAAGGGCCCGATCCATGAGACCTTTTCTAAGTTTATGCACTTTTGAACTTTATTTGCAGAAGTCCAGGCTTGCTGATAGAACACAGGTGACCCAGCTACAGGGAAAGCTACCCTTCTGACCAAAAGGAAATGTACTTAACCATGAAACCTACAAGGAAATTCCCAGGAAGTTCTAGGGCTGGAACCTAACTGATTCTCCATCTGGATGTTGTTTACTCACAGTAGCAAAAGTTGAATAGAAGAGTTTCTTCTCCAGCTTATTTCCCTCTGTTAATGTCATCTCGAAAGCTGAGAAAGAAAACCCTGAGTCATGAACTGAGATGCTTGAATGTGGGAAGGCAGAACGCCTTCCTATGGTGAAAGGAACAGTCCCCAACTCGCACATAGTTTAATTTCACCCTGATTTAACACACAGCCTGGGAAGCGCCATCCCTGCGCATGGCTTCTGGGCCTGCTCCTTTGACTCCCTTTTCTCACGCACCACCCCACAGAGAGACCAGTGAAGCAAACAGCTCAGAGGGCCTCCCACTCCCGGGTCCCCCAAGTGTCACGCAATGGTGGCCTTGAGATGGGAGAGACATGAGGAATTGGATGAGAAGGTGGAACAGCAAACTCTGTCCAACCACAAAAGGATTTGAGACGGCTCGCAAAATTGTATGAAAAAAGTATAAACAATAATAATTGAGGAAGAAAGCCAGAACAGGGAACATCGTGCCAGGACAAAGGTCGGGGCAGTAAGAAAGGCCACTGCTGTGGGCCTGTCCTTCTGCGAAGCAGCAGCAGTGTGCTGCTCTTAGGAAGCAGTGCCCGTGGTCCGAGCCCCTGCAGTGGGGAGTCCTCTGGGTGATGGGTGGAGCAAAAGCAGGGGCCTTCGATTCGACTGTGGGTCAGCAACCCCTTAGTCACAGCAGCGTCCACCTCTCCAATGTGTGCTTGCCCCGTGTCGATGCTTCACAAACATTAGCTCACTCAAGTAAGGCTGGCAGCAACCCAGGGGGCATGACTGTGCTTTCCTGCAGATAACCACGGACTCGAAGAGGCAAAGTGGCTGCCTGAGGACATGTCTGTCCCAGGACAATCCTACTCCAATGCTGAGAATAAACTGCTATGTTAAACTCAAGCCAACTGTGAGGAGGGGGAGGTCAGAGCCGCAGTGCTGGCAGAGAGAGGACACAGAGGCCAGAGCAACAGTGAGCAGCGTGAACTCTGCCCCGGCTCCATGGGTGTTTAGTGAGCCTGCACCATCCCTCAGGGGCAGGCTGCTGACCACTTGCACAGCTCCCTGCCCAGTACGGGCTGAGCTGCCGCTGACAAGATGAGTGTCTTCACCTAGGCTCTGGGAGGTGAGCCAAGTTTCTCAGGACCAGACTTGCTTCCTTCAGGGACTGTCCTGCCCTTCTCGGCTCTTGCCCTGCATGCCAGCGCTTCCACCGTCTGTCCCCAGCGCTGGCCCTGTTCTCGGGTTCTGGCAACAAGGGGAGCTTGGAACATTTCAACAGAATTTGTGAGCGAGCAACTAGAAACTAGAACTCCACAAAGAGCCAAAATCGAAATAGTGAGAATCCTAATTTTTGTCCAGGATGAGGTTAGGATGCGTAATTCAGAGCCCAAAACTTGAAGCCTCACAGCTACCCCTCTGCAGTCCTGGGGGCCCTCTGCACTGTCTCCTGGCAGGATCCCTACCGGCATTCACTGACTCTTTGGCCATCGCTGCGACAATTTTAGAATTGCTGGCAATTTTTTCTGCGCACTGGATGGCTTCTTCGACCAGTGTCTCAACAGGGAAAATTTTGCTGACAAGACCTAAAAAACAGACAGGTGAACACTGTGTGAAAACAGCACTGGCACATTTCTCTTTGAGTCACAAGGACGTTCTGAGAGAGGAGGTCTCTTGGGTGCTAAGGGGGCTGCAGTGACACAGGGAAGGCTCCACACAGTCCCCGAGGCAGCCGATGCCCTTGGCTACCACGGCCACTGGGCTCTTACAGATGCACGAACGGGAAGAAGGGCAGTCACGGGGGTGATGGTGCAGGTGTGCCTGCAGAGGGCCCTGGGGACCCCTCAAGGCTTACGCTGGGCTTTGGTGAAACGTTGTTTTATTATTACTCTTTAACCCACACGTACGTTTTAGTTACCCTTTAGTACATGTGGCATTTCAAATAAGAAAACAAAGGCAGTCAGTCCCCTGGGTCCTCCGGACACCTGACAGTGCTGTGCTGATCTCCCCGGAAGTACCTAGATGCAGCTCTTGCCCCCAATCGGCCCCCTGCGAGGTGGCTCCAGGGGCGCCCTGGCCCTACCTGCTTGCTTGGCATCCTGGGCTGAGATCCGGTCGCCGGTGAGAATCATCTCCATGGCCAAGGACTTTCCGACGGCGCGGGTCAGTCTCTGGGTACCCCCTGCACCTGAGGGCAGAGGGCTGCTGGGCACAGCTGGCTCTGTGGCCAGTGCCAGCCAACATGCCACAGACACACTACTGGCAAGTTCCAGGGGCTGAAGATGGTCCCTCTGGGGGTGTGTGTGGGTAAAACTGAGGCAGCCAGCAGGTGGGGAAGTAGGAGGAGACCTGAGAAACCCCGGGGCTATCAGAGCGAGCCAAGGGGACCACCTGGGGGAGACGCCCACAATCCAGCAGACTCAGGAGTTGCCTCAATGAAGCGGAGACCTTGAGCATTGGTACGGGAAGAGCCCGCAGTCCGCGAAAGTCATATAGGGCTTCCCTTGCTCTCGGCTGACCCAGACATCCTCTTCTGACCCCACAGCTGCTCTCTGCCCACCCTGACTGGCTCAGGTGATGCTCTGGGTTCTGGGTGCCACAGACCCCATAGGGACATAAGCCCAGAGCGCTCATCAGGTGGACCCCAGGGGGCAGAGGTGTCACTGCCCCTGCTCTTGGTGCCCTCCCTGTGGGGGGTCTGAGTTCCTGCTCTGCTAAACTTGGGTGAGGCCATGGGACTTGCTCTGGCCTTGCAAGACATGTGGCCAGACATCTCATGTCTGGGCACAAGCTCTCAGCACTGGCCCATGGTCACCATGTTCTCTTTCCTGAGCTTCTGACCTACAAGGACCACCACAGATGCAGCTCCTGAGCAAAAATCACTGCGGTTATAAGCTACCACATTGCCAGCCTTTCGAAATGGTGTCTGACATGGGATCTGGCTGTCATCAAGGAACTGGCACTGCTCCAAGGCCCCCAGGGCCACTCTGAGCCCGGTGTCCCTTGGGCTTAGTGAGCTGTCGGCAGCCAGAGTGATGTGCGCAGACAGGCAGCCCTGAGCTCCTCCTCAGATGCAGGTCACATGCCTTCGTCTTCTACTGGAGGCCCGAGAGCCCCTAAGATGTGGGCAGATCATGGGAACTACCTGAGGAGTTTCTGCTAGAGATGTCATCACCCTTACCTGGGATGGTTCCTATCAGGATTTCTGGCTGCCCAAACTGGGCTTTCTCTCCTGCATAAATGATGTCACACATCATGGCAAGTTCACAGCCGCCACCAAGCTGAAAAACAACAGGAGACATCACCAGTGGAATGTCAGAAAATCACTCTATTTGCTTATCTAAATTTTATATTAAAATGAAACACACTCCAGGGTAGAGGAGACATTAACGCAGAAGCACAAAATTAGTCATATTCCCATAAATTACCTACAGATGGGTGATGCTAGCAAACTTTTTCTGTAAAGGGCCAGACGGGAAACACTTCTGGCTCTGGGGGTCGTACAGTCTCTGCTTTGGGGGCCCAAAGGCAGCCACAGGGACTGTGAGAACCAATGGCGTGGCTGTGCTCCAGTAAACATCACTGGCTGACCCTGGCT